CAAGATTAAAAAACCTGTTTTGTTTAATTATCTTGATTAAATTTTGTTTTACTTTAAGTTGAATTTTAATTGGTTAAGTTTGCCTATTTATGAAAAGTTTTTTAATACATACTACTTGATTCGTGACCTATCTATTTTCTTGAAACAAGCATATTTACTTAATATATACTTACTAGCCTAGTTTAATCTCTGATATAATCATGTTACTTGTTGCATGCCAGTGGGAGGTTTATAATTGTTGGCATATGTCAACATATTACTTGTGGAACCAGTTCATTTTTGTTAATAGTCGTTATCCTGCTAGTGGGAGTATACAATAATAACCTTACTACTTGCCAATAAGAGGTTTATAAATTTATGTCATTACTTATAAAGAAGACATCTATTTCATTGCTTACACTTGTAACTATACTTGATACCTAGTATATATTACTTAATTAAAAATAAATAAAAAGAGGAATTGAATATTCACTTTTTGAGATTACATCTCACATTTTCCCTTGTCCACAATTTCAAGTAACAATACTAGAAACATTAGGCATCAAGGTGTGTGATTGTTTTTTATTAGATTCAGTTTAGATTTAGTTAAAACTTGATTTAGTTTTCAGACTTATTTGTTACTATTATTAATATTAGAAAGTTGAAGGAACTAATTAACAATATTACATAATTTGACTTAAAAGTATTTATTTGGATGTTATTGACTTTTAATAATATTTAAGATATTTTATATTTGAATTTATTAATTTTGACTCTACATAATAAATTAACTTGATTATAAGTCTTGTGCACTTATGGGTTCTACTCATAAGTATATGGCATCTGTTTTGCTTTAGAGTCTGGAGTGTGAGAATGATATAACTGTCATATGTTTTGTCGGAGAGATTAACCATTAAGTGTTTATGCATAGCATGTTTAGTATGAAATATATTGTTCTAACATTTTTCACATAGATATCAAAGTTCCTTCCCTTCTTTATGAACATAAATGTAAAAATGTTTCAAATCAAGATTTTTTTATTAGTCAAATAAAATTATATTATTAACCTTTATCTATCTTGTAAATATATATAATTTACTAATTAAAGGTTAGAGATACATAACTTAGGATTATCAAGAGATAAAAAATGCCAATAAATAAGAAAAAACTCTAAAATAGAATAAACTAAAAGTAGATATCATCTAATTTTTAACTTATATATTGTGTTATTCTAACTCACATACAAATGAAGCTAAAGCTATATCTATGTTGGAAGAAGTGGAAGCCTTAGTAAATTTTTTAATTTGTAATCATGCTCATTTTTTGAGCCTTTTTTTGAAATTGCTCTCACCTAACAGCCCACATAATTAATGACAAACAATTGTCTAATGACAAACAACTATTGATGTTATTCCATTAAATAAGAACAACCTTTTTAATTGGTCCTATATTTGTTAATTCTTGTTTTGCATATTTTTTGTTGCGAATTAAACTAATTAATATATGTAAGTTTATTAAAGAAAGATATTCAAATTTCTTTTGCTTTTATTCTTAGCTAAACAAAAACCAATACTATTGTAAATTGTAGCGATGAGAAAAATGACTAAATTCTTACTTTTTTTTCTTAGTAAAAGAAAAATCGTGATAATCACAATATAGCTAAATATATTTTGTAGTTGTAATCCCAACCCCATAATGAAAAGAATTACAAAGCAAAGAAATTTTTTTTTTAATTCCTTACAAATAGAAGAGAGAGCTTAAGCACCTTCTTTTCACTTACTACTTGATCTTTGCTTGCTATCCTTTTTGGTCTTAATTAGTTTGATAGATTGAATTCTTATACATAATATAATATTATTCAACCTAGATTTTAATGTTATTTGAGTATGTTACATGTGTTGTTATTTGATTCTACATGAGTTTGATGTTTTTGTTGAAAAGAATTCAATCATAAGAAATTAGAAATATTAGAATTGAATTGTAAAATTTTTATAATTTAAGGATCCACATTGCAAACAAATCAAAATTAAGGACTAAATCAAAAAGAGTATAAGGACTAAAGTACTAATCACATACATGTTGAAGGATAAGAATTAAAGCACCTATGACTAAAAAAAGATAAAGCCCCTTACTTAATCATCGCTACATTGGTAAGGAGAGACAAAGGTTTTAAGAACTAAATGGCTTCCCTCTTCATAGTTAAAAGACTACAACAATGATTTAGTCATTTAAGAATAATTTTTTTATACTATCTTTTTATACAATTTTCATATATCATTAAATGAGTGGATACATTCAATATAAAGGTTAAATCCCCAATTTGGTCCCTCTACTTTGGCAAAAAGCCCCTTTTTAGTCCCTCTACTTAAAAAAGCCTTTTTTTGTTCCCTAAAGTTTGAAATTCGGCTCCTTTTTAGTCTTTTTGTTAAGTTTTCCATATGTGGCACATTAGATGACAAAAATTTCAAAGTAGAAGGATAAAAAAATAGCTATTTTGAAAAAAAGCCCCTTTTTGGTCCCTCTTCTTTGAAATTTTCGTCATGTAGCGTCAAAACTTAATAGAGAAACTAAAAAATGATCGAATTTCAAACTTTAGGAATCAAAAAAGGACTTTTTTAAGTAGAGGGACTAACAAGGGGCTTTTTGCCAAAGTAGAGGGACCAAATTGGGGTTTTAACCTATCATAAATTCCAAATGAATAATAATAATTAATTATTTAAATAACATGTAAGGTTGTCTAAAAATATTGTTCAAAAAGGTTGTTCTGAAATAATTTTTCTTTAAATTATTTGCCCTTATTATAAATTTATTTCATGTTTATTTTTTATGTAATAATGGTAATTTAAAGTTTTAAATTGTTTTGATAATTAACAATTAAGTATATTTTTATGCAAAACAAAGAATTGAGAATATAAAAACACAAAGTTCAATTTTACAACCAAAAGCTTTTTGGGATAAAAATTAGCACTTAATTTTAATTTCTCAAAAAAAGTTAATATGACACTCATTAGTTTTAAAATTTTTTTAAAATTTTATTTAAAACACACCTAATAATTAATATGAGTTAAATGTTTTATTTATGTAGATATAATTAATTTAGTATTTATAAATTTTCAATGAAAAACACTCAATTAATGAAAATATGTTGTTTTAAAGATGTTCAACATGAAGAACATCTTGCAACACATTTTTCGATTATTTAATGTGACAATTTGTATAGGGAGTTATTTTTATGGACTTTTGTTTTTAAGATACAAAAAATTTAGAATCTTTTGATATTTTAATATTAAAATTGGTTAAAAAGTTATTTAAATATCCTCAAAAATCTTGTTTATTAAGAATATTAAGAATATATATTTATGAAATTAGTTTTTATTCATATTATTTCTTAAAAATTAAAAAATTAGGTTAAAATTATGTTATTTTAATAAAATATTATAAAAAATCAAAATAATAAAATTTAAGTTTTAAAAATATTATATTTTAAAAATATTAAAATGAATAATTTTAATACATTTTTTAAATTTTTTAAAATTAAGATAGATGTATAATTTTTTATATATATACACATACGAAAAACTATTTTACCATTTTACTGAATCATAAAAGTAAAATGATAAGGCATGCCCTCTTTCCTAGTTCAAGCCTTGATTTTTTTTTTCTTTTCATTAGATGCCAACAGAACGTCCTGTCTACGACTTTTTTTTTCCCTTTGGCAAAGAATATCAATCCTTTGTCCTGCTCCCTATAGCTAGTTTCTCTTTCTTTGTGCTATCACAACGTCAAGAAAGGTGAGTACAGGCCTACCTAGCTAAAGCATTTTTATTGTTTTCGTTTTCTTTTGGCTAGGTTTTGTTGTTTGTTTTCTAGTGTTTTACGGCAAGATCATTTTTATGGTTGTCTTAGATTTTCCTCTTAGATCTGCTCAAATTAACAAACTTTTAACTTGAGATTATACTGAATTTGTTTTCTACTACATAATTTTTTTATTAAACTTATGATTTGATAATCTTCTCTATGTTAGGGTTTTTTTCAAAATACAATGGATACCAACAACTGGAGGCCTAATACTCCTAACGGAGAGCCCACCATGGACACGGCTGATTGGAGAACACAATTACAGCTTGGTTCACAACAAAGAATTGTCAACAAGGTGTAAGTTAAACTATTTTGCGTTAAGTGAAGTGATTGTAGATTGCTTAATTTGTTTTTCTAAAAGTTAAGCTTATTACCCTGAGAGGAACCTACTTTCTATTCCCTAGTTTATTGTTTGTTGTGCAAATAAATTTATAAGAGAGTTGTGTGCCAAAAAATAAAAAATCTATACGGGAGCTAGTTTCAAGTGAATAAAAGGAAAAAAATAGAGTGAGTCTTGTAGGCATTTCCTAACCATAAAATATAACTTTTATCCTAGCAAATGGCTATTCCTACTTTTATCTTCATTTTGTGGAATCTCTAAGATTTTGGCTGTTGTAACCTTGTGTGTACACTTGGCATTTATATCTACAATACAGCTAACCTAGGTGACCTGTTTCTTTCATTAATCCTAAGCTTCTTCATTATGCCTATATCTAGTAGCCAAATCCTTTTGTGCAAAAACACACTCATTATTATCTCTTTGGTATGGAAGAGCCCATATTCTAAGTTGCAACTAGCAAAATAAATCCTTTACCTTTGAATTAACCACCCTAACATTTTTTTTTTTTTTGATAGAATGTGAAATTTCATTTTATCCAACAATTGTTGTTGTAGAAGAAAGAGTAATTTGCCACTACAATTAATTACAAACTATCAAAAACTTATTAGAAAAACAAAACTATTGTATCCTATCTTCCACAACAGCTTTAATCCCCCACTATACAGCAATAGCCATTGATAAGGGGGAACACTTGGGCTTAGCAAATCCCAAGATCATACTTCAAACATCAAACTAGATATCTTTAACAAGCATCATCATAGATTGATATCTCTGGTGGTGAACTCGACTATTTCTCACTCCAAATATGATAGATTGTAGTAGCCTATGCCAATTTTATAAAGACATTGTATAGAGACTTCTTTCTAATTTTCTTTCCCATCCATGCAAATATTCCTTGCCAAGTGTCAATAAATAGGATTCCTGCCATTTAACACAACTTTTCCCAAACTTCCTTTGTGAACTTACATTTGAAAATGAGATGTGTATTTGTTTCCAATTCAGAATTACAAAGCAAGCATGCATTTGCAATGGGAGGAGACCACCTTTTCCACCTAGCTCTTATAGTTAATTTGTTATGTATTGCCTACCAACTAATGAAGCTGTTTTTTGGGACAACTTTGGAAAACCATATCAATTTGTGCAATGGAACTTTGCTTCACTTTTCCCTTAGCCAGTGTCAATTATTTCCAGTTTTGATTGAGCAAGAAGTGGAAGGTATCACATGAGTCTTTCACCCCTTCCTTTGGGTACAACCTATAAAAAAGGACCATTTGGATTTGCACAAACTCAAGAGATCGAGTAGGAAGCCAATTCCAAAAATTACCTTGCACAACAGTGGACACCTTTGCATTGTATAGTAGCCCTGAACGCCTAATAAATTTGTCACCATATACATGTATTAAAGGGCCTGATGTTGCTAATTGTTGAACCAGAGAGATGTCCTCATCATCACCTAATAGATGCCTTAACATTAAGGTTAGACGACCCTTGCCAATCTATTTCTTTCCTTCACCCACTTTTTCACTTTTTCTTGAGGGTCTAACACAACATATAACCAAGAGGAACCTGTAAGAAATGTTCCTATCATTCATTTTTTATCAATGCTTCTATAGTTGCAACCCCCTCAGTGAGGTACCATTGAAGAAGGGATGCATCTTATTTTCCCTTTTCTCAAATGTGTTTTTTTACCCATATGAGTGTGTTGAAAGCTTTATCATGAATATTGCCAATTGCCCACGAGAAACAACCATCTTTAAAGAGAAGAAAAGAGAGAGAGAGAGAGAGAGAGAGAGAGAGAGAGAGAGAAGAAAATAAAAATCAATAAAGACAATTGTTAGGATTTGATGACCTGTATCCTCTACTCCTACATATACCAAATGCAAACTAGAAGAAGATCGAATCAAGTCATCATTGTTCATTAGATGATGACATTCATCATTTTTGGCCTTTATGTTAATGTTATCTTCCATTATAACCTTTTCTTATGTGTTATTTTTTTTCTTTAAAAAAAAGTAGTTCCTCTTTTATATGCTTGACTTGCATGCATGCTTATTCTAGTTTCTAACTTGTTAAGGGTTTTTTGCAGACAAACTTGTCTAAATTTTACCATTTTATTTTTTTTTTAGTTAGGTTCTTGCATTTAAATATTTTATCATTTTCTGCATATTACACCTTATGTTTATCAAGTGTTGGTTTTCATCTTTTACTACATCTAAGCTCCAAAATGGCATATTGCTTTAATCCAACTTCTGCCTTTTAAAACACTAGTCTTGTGGAAAGTGTCAAGTTTTTATTGTAATTGTCAGCCTGCCATGACCTTCCTCCTTTAGCTACGCTTGATACCAGTCATGTAAAATTATGCAGTACTTAATTACACAATAGGTAGATTTGGTCTTAGGTTTAAATCGAGTCTTTGATATGTAGGTCATGCTTTGGAAGACATTTGTTGAAAATCTAGTATGTTCTTTGCTTGTTACAAATGAAGAAAACTTCTTACAAGGTTCCAATGTTTGTGCCTCTAGATATTGAAGTTAATATGAAAAAAATATCCTATAGTTTTCTTCCATTTGTGTTGGTATGTGTATGTGTGTGTGTTGGGGGGAGAGACTGGATTGTCTAAAACTGTTATTAACCAACTAACGTAATTGGCCTTTTGTCTAGAAGAACATCTTTTCACTGGTGCAATGTTAGCCATATTAGTTGAAAATGATTTGTGCATGTCATCAGATCTTATCTCTTTACGTTGAGAGAATATTTATTAATTTCCACACACTTTTGCTTATGAGGACTGATGTGTAGATATTCTGAGTTGGTTTTAAGGAAAAAGTTGTTGGTTAAATTTGATTGGATTTGTGCAAACATTTAAGTACCCTCCCTCTTTTTTTCGTTATCATTTTACATTCTCAACATCATGATACCAATGCATCTTTTTATTGAACATTTTAAATATGTATTATTAGAAAATTACTAGTTTAACTTATTGTTTTCTTTTTTGATAAGCTAAGAAAAGATATTTTTTTACTAATATAATGTATTATATATGCAAAATGGAGACATTAAGATGGCATCTTCCATGTTCTAGCAATGAGGGATTAAATGAGCTAAGGAAAATTGTTGTACGGTTTGAGGAAAAGATTTATACTGTTGCAACTAGCCAGGTAATAGGTAATTATACATTTTTCATATTGGATGAGTGTCAAGAGTATGAGATTTTCTTAGAGTATGTGTGCATATTTACTGGTCATTATGTGCATTTCTTATGTTCTTTATATATATCATATTATTGTAACTCAGTCTTATGTCTAATTACTTGAAAAACTTCAAAGAGTAAACAAATGAAAGATTAAGGAAGAAAGTGAAAAAGATATCATTTAAGAATGAAACACATTCTTTTAACTTATTTTCTTTTTTGAATATGTAAAACCCATTTGATTTGAAGTTTTTGTTGACCTTTCTTTTAAGTTAGACTACCTAAGGAGAATATCCTTGAAAATGCTTACAATGGAGACAAAGTATCAGAATACCTAACCCAATCTTGGCAATAGTAGCAAACTTATTGATCCAAGTAATAATATCACATAGCATTTTATTTGTAGCGTGCAGATGTAACCTTTTTGAAAGTTGTTCGGGGGTGTCGGTGATGTAGGTGAATGAATCAGCAGTGGTAGTGACGTGGAAACTGACTAGGATGACACCCGTCTCATGTGCAGGAGGCTACATGTTACCGGCCATCTCGTTTCGTTGGGTAATGATATCTTGCAGTGCACTTTCCAGCAAAAGCTTTTAAAAGACGAACTTTTCAGCCAAGCCGGTGGAGTTGGGCAACAATAACGGGATTCTAAAGGTTCAAGGTGATCGCACAATTACCAAAAATATGATGGAGATAGGTTGTGCATTGTTGAGGAAAGGCAGCTAAGATGTGAAATACATATGACTTAAAGATTACAACTTAAAAATCACACTCATACATCAATCATTATAACATGATAATAATGACAATAAAAGTGACCTCTTTCATCCCTAGTGTAGATTTTTACCCTGTAACAGACAATCCTCATATTGAAAATGAAGAGTACAGCAACTCCAATTTTGGGGTTCTTCCAAAGACAAAAGGGATAAACTTAAGAGTGGTGATGGGAGAAGGAAAGATGATCACTTGGAAGCTTACGAATGGAATGCTTGATCCCATTTTGATGCGAACCTTGCAACCTTAACCGTATGATGCTCAAGAAGAACTATTCGAAAGCTGAAACTGCAACATGTTATTCCTTGACCATAATATCCTGTGCATCTGGAAATACTCTACAATGCTGGGTGATGTTCTGCAATGTTGGGAAATATTCTGCAGTGCGATAAAGTGTTCTACAGAGCTGGGAAATGTTCTACGGTGCTGAAAAAGACTTTCTAGAGCTAAAAAATATTTTGCAGAGCTAAAGAATACTCTGCAGGACCGGAGGCTTCGGAAACCCAAGAGGAATGGTGGTTCACGAACGATTCTTGCGTGCAGAGTAGTGGGTTGAAGCTGGAATCTATTTTTCTTTTAAAATGAGAGTTTTGGTATGTGAGTCTGTTGTGGTGTTGCATGCATTTTTTTTCTCTGTATATCTCCCTTTGAAAATGAAGAGCAAATAATTTATATATACGTAGTGGTATTGCTGTAATTTCTAATTGGTAGCTTAGAGGTGTGCAGAAAGGTTGAGGTGAGCTATCGAATTTTTGGTGGTTCCAGGCACTACTAGTAAGTCTGTGATAATGGCATTATGAATTGCCCAATGGTCCCAGCGAAGTTTTGCTGGTTCTTGCAAAGAAACTGGAAATTGTATATTTTTGGCAATGTCCCCAGCCATAGGAAATCCCATCTTTGGGAAGGTGCTTGAGTGCAGCTGGCAAAAACAACATATGCGCAAGATTTGGTGAGTTCTCCAGGTTCTGCACAAGATTTTAGAGGATTTTGCCAGCAGATAACAATCTTTTATAGTAGTTTCCAAGGCCATGGAACTTGTGTAGCCACTCTTGCATTAAATATGGCTGCAAGTCGTTGATGGTGACCAAGACAGCACCTCTGGTTAGCTTCTGGCGGGATTTACAGTCTTCGGTTAGCATTTAATTGCACTGTTCCGGGAATCAAGTTCATTTCCATGCTTTTGCCACCCAGCCTCTTTCTGACGAAGTCAGGTAGCATCGCCAATGCCAAGCTTTGTTGGTGCGGATGCCTTGCTTCGCCAGACGGGCAGCATTCGTCCATGCATGCCTGCTAAGCCACTCCCATAATCTATCCCGAATAATCCCCATGAGCTTGGATTTATCGGCTTGTGTTTATCTGCAATAACAACAAGCCATATGTAAATATATGTTCAAATATTTAATAATAAGCAAACTCCCTCATATGTTGAAGAGGACTATGTGAAGGAATATTCGCTACTCTCATTTGCCTACTGGCCATGGCCAACATCAGTACATTGCTGTTGTGCATGGTTGGCGTTACACCAGAATGAGGAATAAGTGGTATGGGTGTGCACTACAATATCGTTGTCCCGAGCCAAGCTTCGCTGGCTGACGATACCTGCTGACACGTAAGATATATAGAAAATATGTGTTATGAGTCGAGATTAGCAGCGATCGGTAATTTTGTCCCTTTGTGTGGGAGAGTGACTATGTGCATGACCTCCGGCCATGTTATTTATGTATTGCGGGGTTAGCCATGCATAGCTTCCCCATAGCCAAAGGGACAACAGTGGCTAGCTTTGCCCATGGTTGAAGCGTGAATTATGTGGAATCGAAAGAGCACTCCCACAAATCTGCCAAGTTGCGAAGGGGTAAATCTCATTAGACCATACTCCGCCATAGCGATGAATATGTATAAAGAAAGGTGGAGTTGTCTCCATGGAAGGGGAACACCAGCTGCTTCCATAGCCTCTGATTTGATAAGGTGTGATACCGCTAACAAACGTTGGCCCTTCTTGTCGTACCTGCACCGTCAGAGGGTAGTCCTAGTTGTTGCTGCCTACCGGGCACCGTACCACCATGTACGGGCGACCACCAAGGGACCGCCGGCTGCTACTTGATGGATTTTTATCGCTGGAGGGTAGCTATAACACACCTCCCTAAGCACTTTTAGTCCTAGGAGAGTTCGGAAATAAGATTTATAATAAAGAATTGCAGCAGAAGTAAAAACACTTATGATATAAAATATTTCTTCAAAAGAAAGCCTGTATTCAGAAAATCAATTTAATAAAAAGAATATCAATATATATATTGGAAAATGCCAAAATATTCAAGGTTATAAAATAAACTGAGCTAGCTCATTTATAATTAATTTAAAGATTTTATACATAAAGGTAATTTACACAAAAATTATATGAGGCAAATTTCTTCTCCAAAGCTTTTCAAAAAAACAAAAGCTGAGTTATTGTTTTGGTAACACATCGATTTGCTTCCCTATCGAAAACACGAGACCCTATCTTGTACATACAACGAGCATGTGAGTCCCGTGCCAAAAGCTCCTAAACCGAGAGGCTGCTACCTCGATCTACTAATCTGAAATGGGGGGGGATTTTATGAGCTAACTGCCCAGTAAGTAATAAGTTTAAGCTATAAACTTGGGTCCTAAGACCCTTAGACCTATCCACACAAAGAGCATAAGACACAATGGAATTAAATCACAGAATATTATAATTCTCAAATTATAAGCACAAATGTCAAGTAATAATCAATGACATTTAAATAGAATTCATATACTAAAATCATATGCTCACAAATACGATGTCACAAGCGCAATGCATAAAATCGAAAATCACACAATGCTATGGAGTCCACTAAGGTGTGCTAGCAACATTGTACCGGAGCTAATCACAGTACTAACCTTACTGTGCAGAGATCCACTAAATACCCCAAAGGGTCCACTGAAAACCCCAAGCTTTAAGCTTAGGTCCACTTACTCCATAGCCACAAACACATACGTATGTCAAACAAATTCATAATATGTCCAAAATAATATTAGGACTTCCTATTGAAAGAGATCAAAGCATAGTGCGTGAACAGTAATTGTGAACAGTAATTCGTAAATAGTACAATTTACTTATAATTCATGCAGTAAAAATTCACACCCAAATCAAACATAAAAAGGACTAGCTCACTGTCTTTCCCATATAAGCCCCAAAATTAAGGATATTTCAAATGAAATTTTAATACCAAAAAATCTTATAAACCAAAGGATTAGAGTCAAATCTCACCAATTTAAACTACCCAAAATTCATAACTAAAACTTATACTTACCTAACAAAAAGCACCTTAACCTTGGTTGGAGAAAGAAGGAAGAAAAGGATGTAGGTGGAAGAGGAAGGCGTAGGAAAACAAAATGGGGCTTTTGGGAGCCTTCTGGAGGCTTATCCAAGCTTCCACTGACAAAGAAAAAAAACTTGGTTGGGACAATGCCATGTGGTAAGCAAAATTGGGATAATTGAGTTATGGTCATTCAACTTCTACTAAGTTTTACTTAAAACCCTCAAACTTTAAATTCAATCAATTTAATCCCTAAAACTATAAACTAAAGGACACTAATTTTTAAATTATTCACTAAGGTATGTGGGGTGTTACATATCTTAACTGCACCGTGATGGGGGGATGCAAGACATCTATTAAATAACTCGTTGCATTGCTGGCAAAACATGGTATTTTTAAAAAGTGGTTTGATCTGGTCACTTGTTATGGAATTTGTTTTTAGTGTGTGTTTTCTTTTGGCTTATTAGTGGAATTGTTGTGTTGATGTGGATTCTTCCTTGGCTAACAATCTTATTCCTTTCCCCTGTTGTGCATTTTATCTGAAGAGTGGCTGTGGACACCTTATGACAAGCTTGTCGAGGATTCAAGTCAAGTTACTGGAAGGTCACCTTTTGTCTTCTGTCTACAATTGAAGCACAACTTAAAAATTCAACTAAATGTATGGATCTTTTCATCTGCTCTTTTGCTTAATGCCACTTTAAGGAAACCATCCAGTTATGTACTCTATATTCTATGTTTTCAATTAGTCATACAAGCAATTCTATTATTGCCTTATATCCACCCCTAGATATTAACAAAGTTTGTGAATAACACTCCCACACAAAATCCTTACTCTACGGGGTTAGGATTTTGAAGTGATGCCTCCAAGAGATGGCTTAACTAGTTAAAAGTTTGAGATTTTAATTTGAAGCTCTTAAGTTTAAATTTTGAGTCCGATGGAGAGCCATTTGGGAAAGAAGAGAACTATCATCTCTTATATAATCCATAATCAAATGTATGACAAAAGGATTATGAAGTGATCAATAATAAGATTAACCTTAATAAACAAACAAACAAGCAAGCAAACAATATTAATATAAACATTTCACAAATGTATAACCAAATAAACAGATTCCAAACCCAATGGGGTGGCTCAATAGTTAAGAACTTGAGATTTAAAAACTTAAGATTTCAAACTGGAGATCTCAAGTTTAAACT